ATCAGTGAAACGGCTAGGGTCCAATACACTTTTTTTGAATCAGTCGGAAAATAAAGATTATATTTTTTTATGTTGAAACCTCAAAATAAATTTTTAATTGAAAAAAATTAATAAAAAACACTGCATCCTTTTGAGAAGATCTTATACGTATATCTCACTTATTTTGCGAAATTTTAGCTTGAGCTTTGCTTTGGAAGTATAAATTTTTATAGCGACTCTCCTCTAGATGCTTTTCGTGCAAAGAATTGCCAATGAGCGCTTGCATCATACCACATGATAGGCGAACTTGGTGCCCAACTTGCAAAAGAAGAAAATTATTCAAGTTGTAACAGGGTAGTGAATTGTGCAAGGGGATGACTAGTCGAGCGATTTTTAAACGAAAGTTGGGTTTGCCAGGGATCTGACCACAGATCTGAAATTCTGCAGTTTTGCGTTCAGCTACCTTTGCCAATGAAGCGTACTTAAAATGACACTCACAAAGATCATAACAACTGTTACTTTGGAATAAAAATGGAAAATGAATAAAAAGAATTGACCCAAGTGAGATTAAACGAAAGAGAAGACTGTTAATAATTTTTTTGTGCCTGCGCAAATACTATTCAGTCCATTTGTATACGAGAATGCGTTCAAAGTGAAAAGTGACTTTTCAAATTTCGATATTCGAACTTTCGAATTCTTCCTTTTTTTTAATGTTGGGAGAATGTCCAAAGCACAGGTTGATATTATCAGCCATTTTGCTTTTTTAGGGCGATGGCTTTTTCACCAGATATATTAACTTGTCAGAAAATCAAACTACTTGCCCTCTCTTTTAATCATTAAAGTTATAACCAATGGAATATGGGAGCAAAACAAATCGATTTACTTTTGGCAACTGTTGGGTATCCGAAATTCGCTTCAATATGAATGTAACTCTTTCTTACTTACTGCTATTTCTCCTCACATCATATGCCATAAAAATGATTTCTTGCACTATTATTGATACTTTAGATTGGAAAACAATTTTGATGGCTTGACAATCAATGTCTGATATATTAATTTGTAATTTTTGTTTATGTTTATAACAAACGCATATGACAGGACTGTCATAATACTTAAAAATGTCACATACATACGTATATATATATATATATATATATATATGTTTATAAATGTAAATTTTCACAAAAAGCATATGCAAGTATATATCATTTTTGACATATCGGAAAGAAAAACGAAGCAAAAGTTTATTCGCTTGTTTGCATGTATGTAAAATACAAGAGGTGAAGCGCAAACGAAAGGGGGAGGGAAAATCATAATAATTTATAAAAAAAAAATTTATTACAGAATTAGCCTAAATACGAATATATAAATGTGACAGTACAAAATTATATGCAAATATATATATATATATATATATATACACTTATATACATATACTATAATATACATATGTTGATTCTATTTACGCCATACATATAACACTATATATGAACATTTGGTTATATTTATATTATGACAAGCGCATATATGTACATATATATGTGTTTGTGTGTGTGCATTTCACTTCGTAATAATTTAATTGACCTAAATTGAAACCAAAAATTGTTTGAATAAATATTATTTAAAGCGATAGATAGACAAGAGCGTCGCAAGAAGCATATCGCACGTACGTGTGTGACGTAAAGGATAATTGCTTTATAAACAAATATTTTTTTTTAGGATAACTAAATGTATAAATTTACGTATGTGTTTCTTGTCACCTCCAGCCGAGAGAGGAAATATTAATAAAGTATCAATACACTACGCTACACACATGTAAATAGAAGTTTTTGTTTTGTTGCGACATGTAATGCACTTGCGTAAATTTTCTGAAAGCCAAGAAACCTTCAATGTAGAGAGGAATAATTTATATCACTGCATAGGTTGGGTATTTTTCAGGTGAAAATTCCTAAGCAACCGCTTCGTGTCTATTGCTTTTCTTTTCCGTTTCGGCATAACAACCGGATCAAATATACACTTGCTTAGAAAACATGTACATATATATATGTACTGTAATCATAAGTTCGTATTCGTGCCCTGACGTTGTCGCCGGTCACTGGTGGGAAGAGGAAACAATGAGTTTTCTCGTAATAGTTGTTACTACTTTTTATCACTCATATAACTAACTTATGCTCACATTAAAATTCGCCAATGTCAGGTTTACACAGAGTAAAACAGAGTTGTGAAGTCATAAAAATCAAACATAAAAATGCCACGTGATTTGTAGCGTGTTTGTGATTTTGTTCAGATTACGACTATAAGTTTTCTTCAACTAACATTGTGCAGAGCATTACATATAAAATTATTCCGCCTAGCTGAACAACTAATAAACTCTATGCAAGCGTTAAACGTCTTCTACCTGCACTTGAATTTTTACATCACGGTAATGGATCTGCTCTCGCTATCTCGCTATGATCCCTAGATTCAGTAAATGTTTTATTCGCCTGACTTAGCTCCTTCAGTCTTCTACCTGTCTACTCTTGGAACAGAGACCATTGATTTCACTCCATTCGAAACACAAAACCAAAAATTTACAAAATGCCATCTTTCAGTGAAAGTAAGCTAAAACGTCTCATCAATTATTCGTCCGAAGGCTGGCTTGAATGTCCATCAGGTTGCTGTTAATCTAAACAAAATGCTATCAGTTCAGATAAGGCTGTGAGACTTAAAAGGCAAAGCTTACTAGCTTTTGATTACAATAATCTACGCAAAGCCACGTGAAGAACTCTAAATGGACAAAGTATTTTAGACAGAATGAATTCCCTTCACAGACAGATAGAGACAGAGAAAGTTAGTATCAGTGTGAAGCTTGAACGGCGCTAGATTAGTAACACAGTCCCAACGGGTTATTCAACTGTGTCCGTACGTTTTATTGCCAAAACCTTTACATAAACAGGAAAATAATGAAATTCCAATACCGCATAAGATTGAGTGCAAGCCGTAAATTTTTTCCATTGTTAGATAAATAATTGAAAATCATCTATAAAACATAGGTGTGGAAGTTTTTATCTTCGTATCGACTGCAGTTTATGAGTAATAAGCTTTTAGAAGCAGACCCGTTAGATTGTAATGCTGTCCACTACTTCAAAAAAATTGACCCATTGCTAATATCAACCTGCGTGTAAAAACTGCCAATGTTTCTAAGTTTCTCCTACCGGGAGTAGGTAAATGCTGCGACGGACCAAGAGACATGCTTAGATTGACACAATAATTTTTTTTGTCGTATAGGCAGCCAGGGGGTATCCGCTATACGTGCAGGCCCGATGGTTGTTAGGAGGGATTATAGGAGGAGAGCAGAAGTAGTGTTTGTAAACATTCGTCTTGAAAATGGAGACATCTCAGGTACGATAAGAAAGACCACTAATGATAGGTTCCAATGTTCCAATGGCGGGCAGTATGACTAAAGGGTGACCCGTCGAAAGAACGATTTGATGCTAGTCAAGATTACTTCATACGATTTCTGAAGCTTTCTTTTGGATGCAGCCAAACATGTTGACATTTTTATGGTCATCTCTTTCTAGCTAAAGAAGTCAACTAAAATTTAATTATAAAAAACTTGTTTTCCTAATGGGGTCACGAGCTTAAAATACTGTCGTATCAGCAATGGTGAACGCAAAGAAAAAAGAAAAGAAACAAAGCACGTTTATCTAACGTTAGATAAACGTGCTTAACTTTATGAACTTTACAAAAGGAACGACTGAACTTCCTTTCGAGCCACACGCCAAATTTTCTAATAAACAAAATTCATAATTATTAGTAAATGAACATGCAAATGATTACAACAAAAACAAGATAGAGAGAGAGAGAGAGAGAGAGAGAGAGAGAGAGAGAGCTAACAAAACAATATAATCATATGTTTTGTGCGTGTGTGTAGATTCATGTAAACTAGTAATGAATGAATTCATGATGATGATGACAGTTAACATTACCGCAACAACATGACTTGTTAACGAAATAAAACAACAACAACAACTGATTGGAAAAAACACAATAGTTGTTACCACTCACTACTAGACCTGCTAGTGCCACTCGCTACTGTCGCTATCGCGACTGCCACTACCTCATAATCACGTGCTCTTATAAAACAAAATTAAATAAAAACATGCAATTATGTGCAACTTGTAATTCAGCGAAAGAGATATACAAAGGAAAGCAACAAAAAAAAAAAAGAAAGAAAAAATTTAATGTCGTCAACATTACTTACGGCATTATTTTCTGCATCTTCATCTTTGGCATTGCAATCTTTATTATGAGTTTCGTCAACAACTGAAGCTTGAGCCTCATTACGCCATATAACCATAGTGACGTAGTGACGACAATTATCATTGTTGTCTGTTTCGCTATTGTTATCGTTACTATTGCTGTTAGTGTTACTCTTAACTCTGGCATCTTGCAGCCAGTGCGATTTTAAAAGTAAAACAATTTCTGAGATTTTCAGACCCAAAATATCACAGTTGTTAAATTCCAAGACTGTGTCACCGATCCGCAAACCAGCCGCATAAGCACTTGAATCTGTCTGTATACTACTTATCCATGGATAAGGATCCCAAGGGGCTCGAGTTAAATGCAAACCCAAAGTACCATTTTCGTACGCATGAATTTGAAAAGATTTCAACATTTTCTTTAAGTTTTCAAAAATTTACCTAAAACCATTAGAGAAAAGAAAGAAAGAAAATAAAATGAAATGAAATCAAGGTCATGCAGAGGCAATAAGATATAAGTGGAAACGGCAAAGCATAAAAATATTTAAATGCTACTCTTTGTATACATTTTCTGTACGGACAAGTATGCATACGCTCTTATCCGCAAGTCTTTACTTTACTTATGCAAAACACATACGCACACGAACTTACAATCATGTTAGTTTAATTACATAATCTGTGCGTGTCTCGATGCCAAGACAAGGCCTTCACCCAGAAACCGAGAGAAACATGTTCGCAATACGTTACCTGAATAGAAGCATATGTTTAAAATACACCTATACACCTATACACACACACACACACACACACACACACACACAATCGAAATCCTTACGGAATTGACTGTAATTCATACAAAAATCGACTAACGTATCAAGCTAAAGCAAAACGTAAAACACCTTAAGTGTCATTTCAACCATCGCGTGTTGTGTGACAAAAGTTTGTTTTTTGATTTTGCTCTGCTTTACAGTCATTCAACGTCATCAGGCATCCATCCTCATTGTGATCATCACCAACATCATCACTACCACTATCAACGACCATCGCCGTTTTTCTTGCCATTTTCGTGCCAAATATCTCTTCTAAGCATAAACGCAACACCATTTATATCTACCGCATAAATGTCCACTAATTTTGTAGTTTTCCTTGGCATAAATCGAGAATAAACATGCGAGACTTCATAAGGTATATTCGCGGTTCATGAAAAATTTGTCATTGTCTATCCGTCTGCCCGTCCACCTTTAGCTCGTTTGAATGCCTCGCCTCTCTACACCATATCCTTGCGATCACTCCAGATGTCTATCAATACATTTGCCAAATCCGCATATGGGAGTGAGTAAAGCATGTATAGTCACTCTATCTGCACACATTCAAACTTGCTCTTCCCATTCGGGCACCCTCTTCTGTAAACCGTATATTTATCTGTCATAACTTATTTACATCTCTATACGCATATAGAGAAGTTTTGTTTTAGCCGAACTTATGCTTTTATCTAACTTCTTCCCATTCATTGTCTTCGTTCGTATATCACTTGTTCCGTAAGTCTGGATGTTTGTCCGTCCGTTCATAATCACATCTCTATATTCTACAGGATGTAGCGCGCGTCTGTATTCCTGTGTGTTCTCTGTCCACATTGCCCATCCGTCCATTTATTTGGCCGTTTGTCTGTTAGATAGTTCGTCCATTTACCTCTCTCCATTTCCTGTACACGTTCTTTATTTTATTATTCCCAAAACAAAAAATGTAACGGATGGATAGATACGTGAAGGAAGCTCATCGAATCTGATCGGTATCTCTTGGTCTACGAGGCTGCTGTAGTACTGATTAGCCTCACTTGATTGCTTTTCTCAATGCTACCAAGCGAGTGACAAAATTTGCATACCTCTGCCGGGAAATATATGTGTATCATGGTGACGCATTTTTAATGCATTACCGTTACTGCAAAGTTTTATTTATCTTTTAATTTTAGTTTTAATTGAAGTTGCTGCTCTCTACCATAATATTTAAATCACAACGTTTTACCGTACGATGATCTTACACACAAACTACGCATAAACGTATATTCGGCTGTAGAACAATTAAGGTGTCGGCATTTAAGAAATAAAAACTTTTCTAATTAGTTTCCTTTTTCCTTATTTTGTTCATTAAGTTTATCTTGAACGAAACTAAATTCACTTTAAGAACACAAAACACTTGACTTGACTTCATCTACAAAGCGCAGCTGATGTTCAATGACGTTGGAAATCGAAGTTCAAAGCCAAAACATGCGAATACATTAATTATCCGATACAGTACAATAGGGGTAAACCAACTTACACTAATAAGTCAAGTAGTGACTGAATTAAGCAAAAAGTGTTCTAATTAGATTTAAAATTCGTGAGTTAAATAAATCGCACATAG